AGGCTGAACCGGTTCCCCGGGATCCCCTGCCTGCCCGGGGCGCCCAGCCGGGTTGCACATCCAGCGTGGGCACCGGCGGAGCCCCGGCACGAGCTGCCTCCTTTGTCCCGCATCACCTTCGGAGCACTGCGGGGCTGGAAGGGGGGAAGCCACATCTGCAGATGACCTCAAACCAAATCCGGTTTCCCTCACCAAACACGCATGTATTTTATATATATACGTATATATTCTCAAACATGTGCGTGTATTATCCTATATATATTAACCTATATACTTAGGGACATCCCAAAACGCAAATGCCTAACTGCAAATCGTAACTTAATTGAGTGTAATAAAAGGCCCTGAGCTGCCTCTGTGCTTCAGCCAGGCAAGGACCCAAGCCGAAGCGCTCCTTTTCACTCCCGAAGTGAAAGCTGTCCCTGTCCTCCGGGGTCCCCGGCTAGGACTTTCTGCTGGGTATAGGCTGCATAAAACTTTGGGAAGGGTCTGGCCTCCGAAGGGGGGTGTTCGCTGGTTGGTTTTCATGGCGTTTTGTTTGCATTTCCGCTGTAGTGAGAAGCCCTATGAAAAAACAAAGGTGCAAACCCAGCAAACGCCTAGGGAAATTTAGGCGCGTTCAAAACCTCTGTCTCCTTTCGGAGATCCGAGGCTACAGCATGTCCGTGATAGGTATAAAATATTAACTAGCATATCGGTGGGACTGAAATCACACGCCGGAATCGGTTGAAATTAGACTGAAACCTGGCGTGAATTTAAACTGTCACAAGCGTCTCAGCTCTTTCCAACTCCTCCCTTCCATCCCCACCCCCAGTCCCTCTCCATAGATTAGATTAGCTAAACATACAAGCCAGAATTTCGATACACAGGGAAAAGGAGGAGTAGTGGAGATTTTTTTTTCGTTCTTTCTCATTATCTTTTTTTTAATTATTATTTTTCCTGGAGCATACCCTGCTTTCATTTTTTAAAATCGTCTCCTGCGCGAATGATTCCATTAAACGGAACCCTCTAGCTTTGCGATCTCTCCACCTGAGAAGGAAAATCTGGCGTGCTGAGCGGTACCGGCTTGTGCAGAAATACGGGCACCCCAGACTGTGATTATACCCGGTCCTTCTGTCTGGGAAGGGGGTGGAAGAGAGGAGGATATTAAATAAGCGTTTGAGTTGTAAATTAAATTGTCTTTCGCCCAATGTTATATTAAACAAGATCAAACGGTAGTAAGCAGCTGAAAGACTGGTTGTTGTTCCCCAACTTATTAACCAATTTTTATTACCCCAAGTTAGCCAGTAGCTCCCCAGGCAGGTCCACCTGCCTGACTTGCCTAGAGACACTTTCTCAACTTTCTAATTGCCCCCTCGCCTTTTTATTCTCCCCTTTCCCTGCGAACCTGTGCAGGATTTTTAGCTTGCTCCGTTTAAAATTATTTTTAATTCTAATTTCTTTCCGCTAAAATAGAGAATGACGTTTTATCCCCCCCCTGGTCGGCGGTGCCCGAACCCTGGGGGGATGCTGTGGCCCAGGTGAGAAGGGCGGGCAAGGGACCAGAGGACCAGGCGGCAGGGCCGGCCCGTGCCTCTCTCCGCAGGGATGCTCCGACTCAGCCGGGCCCGGGCAGCTCCTCCCCAGTCATACTCCTCTCCTTTTCCTCCCTGGCCAGGACAGACTGACCGACACAAGTCAAAATGTCCAGGTAGAGACCCCTCCACATCCAGCTATCTCCCAGCAGCGGCAGCAGCATCCCGGCAGCCCGGAAGCAGGAAAGGCAGGTCTTCTCAAGCATTAAAACTCCCCAGACAAGCTTTCCTCGGACAAAAATACACAGACAGACAAAAATGTCTGACGTCCTGCGCTGCCCGCTTCCCCCGGGCGAATGAACGCCTGAGGCACCGGATCGATTTCGAACATGAACGGGGGCTGATGGGGAGGGGGGGGAAGGACCGAAGTTGTGACTTATTTTTGGCGGCTACGTTCCCGTTATGCATGCAGACATCTGTGTTGCTGAGCCTATGTTGCCGCCGCTGCGGGAGGGAGACGGCAGGAGGAGGGAGGCGAGATGCGGGGGGCGAACCCGCTTGCCCCATCGGGGCCGAGACTGGCCCCCGGCCCCGGCGAGGTGAACGGGTTCACTCCCGCTGCGGAGCGGCCGGGGAGGCGGCCGGGGCTGGCGGGAAGAAACGCGGGGCGGAGGACGCCCAGCCCCGCTCTTACCTTCCGTCGTCCTGCCCGTGCTGAACTCCTTCAGTTTGTCCTTGTCGCTCTCTACGTGGTCTTTGAAAAGATGCACCGGGCAATGGTTGCTGCTCTCGGTCATGTCCTGCAGGTTAGAGTCAGAGTTTCCCAGCTCCCTAGAGCGAGCCAACCCACTCTCCAAAACTTCCCTGTACGTGATCGTCTCCTTCTTGTTGCTGCTGCCACCGCCGCTGCTGCTCTCTTTGCTTTTCTGGTCAAAAGATTTGGATACAAAAGCCGTAAGTTCTTCCATGGCTGCCCGGTGATCTTATCCACAGAGATCCACTTGTTTTCGGTCGGAGATGTGGACGTCCTCCTCACGCTGTTTTTGCACGTAGATGATGGGCTGTATAGGGTTAGATCACTCCTGCTGTTATTTATGCCTTTCAATTTGAGATCACACTATTTATACATGGCTACCTCAGCCCAACCCCCAGCTCTCCCTGTCTCCAGCAATTACTGACTGCTCCATAGTCGCAGGCGGACTCCCAGCAGCTATCTCCCCCACCTCACTCCAGCAATTGGCTTTCTTTTCATTTCATCACTCTTTGGCATCTTTGCACCTTGATTTAGGGAGGCAAAGAGGCAAAAGCGAAAAAGAGGGGGAGAGAGAAGAATAAAAGGGAGGGGGGAAGAAGAGTGAAACATGGAAATAGGTATCTGCATTCTGTAAATGGGTTGCAGAAATGAAAGTCGAGGAAGACTTAATTGATTGTAAGGACATCCTGTGCGTGGCAACACTGTGAGTAAAAACGGACCCACAGCTAATCAAATAACTGTGCTCCTGCAATTAAATGTATCGCTGTCAAGAGGAAAAGAAAATGAGTGTTCAATAAAAAAGGTAATGAATAAAAAGCCGGAGATGTGCATTTGTTGCAATCATTGGGAAATTCTACCTGATTTGCTATTTAGCTAATTTCGCTTAATTAAATGGTCAAAATAATCAGCGAACCAAAAATGCTGTTTGGAAGCGTTGCCTGTTCTGGCGGGCGGGCGGGTGAGTGCGCGGAGGGGGACGTGTGTTGCAGTTGAACAAGTTGCGAGCTGTCGCGGAGATCCTTGTCAGTGTGTGTGGGGGATTTGGAGGGGATTGCTTGGCTGGGGGGTGTCTTATCCATAGGTAGGGGGACTCTCCAGATGCATTGTAAGCATTGCAGCGGCTGTTTTCTTGTTTACTTGTTATTATGTCGTCTGAAGATGCTGTTGGGGAAAATTTAAATCTAAAATGTTTCTTTGGATGTAGAGCTACCCTGCTGCGTGGACCAGAGGGGTGATTTATTAACATGAGACTTTGTACACAACAAATCGTCCTTTTTTTGTCTTTTTTTTTTCTTTTTTTTTTTTAACGAAACATATCCTGCTGGATTTAAGATAGGCCTGGCAATAATTTCCCACCTTGCTATTGGTAGGCTGCTGTTATTTTTGTTGTACTCCCGGAATAACTATTATTCCGTGCGTTCAAATAGCTGCCTGAAATTCATCCCCCGGTAGCAGCGCCGGCACTTCCAGCGGCGCTCCTCACCGATTCATCTGCAGGCGGAGCCGGCTCGCCAGCTACCCCTTTCCATCTCCTCCCCTCGGGCTCTAACGCGAACGGGTTAGTCAGTATTTCGAAGAATTTTGTCGTTTGGCTTTTTACGTGCTTCTGCTTCCCTCGCCTCGAGTTTAAGCTAATCAGAGCCCCTCACCACGCCGCCCTCCTCTCCGAGTCGCCACCGAAGGAGGCTCTGGGCTGGAGCAAGGGGCCATTGTTTCTTTTTCCGGGGGAGCGTGGGACCGCTCTGAAAATTAGCAGAACGTTAAAACACTAAAAATACGTTTAATTAATCCAAAGGTTACCCCAGCATCAGAGTTAACACTTCCACAGGAGGAGGGGAGGGAAAAATAATAATCGAGGAAGCGATTAATAAAGGGCTTAAAAAAAAAATCAATCTCCCCCTGCGCGAATTTAAAATGATTATCTAGGGGACAAGGATTGATCATTTGATCTCGGCACTGCGGAGATCCCTGACATTTATTATATTGTTGTGTCTCGGTGGCATCCTTCCTCCAGAGTTCATTTAACAAGTGAGGGAGCCGAGGAAGCCTTACAACTTAACAAACAGGTCTTGTCATCGCGGACGCCAATCAAATCCCAGGCTCTAATGTATATCACACGACACCACATAAATAATAAACGCAAAGGATAGACGTGGAAGTAAGGCACGGCTAAGGAGAAGTCCCTCTCTCACGCAGCCCGGTGTCGGGGGTTCGCGGAGGATGGTTGCTTATGCTGCGAGTGTGTCACGGACACACGCACACGCGGGGACACCGGCACCCGCTCCCACGGGCGGGGGGAGGCTCCAGGGAAAGTTCCCCTAGCCCTCGGCTTGCTCGGCATCGATTCCCTCCACCCCCGCCCGCGCATCGTGCCCAGCCTCCCTCGCAGCAAACAAGGATAAATATTTACTAATTTTTCTCCCCCAGCCCTGCCGCGGCACCATGCGCTTCGGCTTCCCCGAGCAGCCGGAGTTTCTGTCCCACACCTCGCTCCGCTTCCTTCCTCTCACC